CTGGCACAGGCCGCCCGGATTCCTTTAACCTCAGGAACTGAGCACCTCGGAGAAGCGGGGTGGCTTAACTCCTCCAGGAGCTGCTCTTCAGTGGACAACGGTTCAGTTTGGAGTGAAATTAATACTTCTCCGCAGTTTTTAATAGTTCTCCCTAGTTTTTCCTCCTGTTTTCACATCCTAGGCCTGCTAAGATCCCCCAGTCTTCCAGAATTTGGCAATCTAAAAAGGGGAGAAAAGCAGAGGGAGGGCGAGGAAAAGGGGGTAGAGTGTTCTTTTGGGGGGTTGCCGGGCTGTCTCCTGTGCAACCTGCCTCAGTTTCCAGCTTGTGGGTCGCCAGCGGCCTAGTTCCGGGTCTGGCTGCTCTGCTGGGGAGAGATCTCTCGGCATGGGGCCAGCCTCGATCAATCCGTGGAGGCCTTTGCTCGACCTTACCTTTAGCTACCGTAGAAATCTTTCCGTAGCCTGCGACTTGGGGTGCACCCCGGGGTCTGTGCCTGTTTCTGCCATAGAAATCTTCCCGCTGTTCCGAACACCTCCCCCAGGTGAGAGTTCCTGCCTTCTGTGGCGCGCCAGAGGTCCCACGTTCATTAGGACAGTTTCCAGGACACGGAGCGCCTACCATAGACCGCACGGCCGGTACTGTTTGTTAACTAATGTGCGTGGAATGGAGCGGGTGAGAAACTAGAAAGAATGGCCGGTGCGGACCGAACACAGCTAAAAAGAACTGGGCCTCAGTGGTAGGAAAGGTTCAAAGCCTTGCCAAGGAGCGCTGCAAGCCGGCAAAACAGGCCAGACTTGCTCCAATCCCGCCTGAGCTTTTCCTCCGAATGCCCCGCGGGCCACACAGCCAGCCACCTTCTGGGGCACGCACAAGTGTCTGTCCCCGCTTGCGGCTTTAATGTTTCGGTAAAGCAATAAATTTTGCAGATTTTAGGATGCCAGAACTACCTCCCCAAACTTCAGCTCTCACAGGGTAGCATTTTAACTCTTTTCTGTCAGAATAACTTTGTCACTTTTTCTTTTCATTTTTACCTTTGTCCCTCTGCTCCCAGCGTCCACCCTCCCTGTTTCAGTCTGAGGCCCAGACTGAAGAGAAGACTCAGTTTTGTTGTTTTCGTATTTTTCTCTTTGATTATTTTTCTGAGCAAATGCACATCAAAATCTTAAGCTGCTGGAGATTATTAATAGCGTATAAAAAGAGACCGCAGCCTCCCGCAAGGGTCCAATCACGAGCCGGCAAGGTCACGCCACGGTTTCGGAATCAGCCTTAGATCGTGGAGGGCCTATTTGTGTCTCTAGCATCTTTTGCAGAAAGAAACAATAGCAGGTTTGGGGTTCTTGGCGCCGCCCAGTGGAGAGAGGGCGCGCTGCATGGAGCTCCTGCCGGAAGGACGAGCCGCGTTCCAAAGGGAGAAGAAACAACAGTTTCAAGTTCGCCGCAACTTGGTGGCGAATTTCATCAAAATTAAAATCCACTTAAAATCTGATGCTCCGGTTTAGAAGAAGCTCAGAGTTAGACAGCAAGCGCGGACCAGGGAAGACAGACTGCGCACACAGCCTAAGCTTTGCGTCTGGGTGGGTCTTTGGGTGTTGGGGGAGGCTTCGCAGTCGATTAGCGTTGATGGGCTCTGCGCAGTCAGGAAGGAAGTGGGTTCGCCGTTCGCACTGTTAGCAAATAAACTGTTTCCTGAACAACAAATTTAAAAATCTCTCCCAATTCAAGAATTTTCTTAAGAAAAAAAAAAAAGAAGAAGAAGAAGAAGAAGAAAAAGAAAGACAGTGAGGGTCTGGGATTGGGAGATTATCTTTAAGTTTATGTTAATTTAGGACATGCTTTTCTTGTATTATAAATCCAGTGGGGGGAAATCTGAGGCTAAAATTCAACAAATTCGCTTGAAAATATTTGGCCTATTTTCCTTTTCTTCTTCTTTTTAGACAAGCTCTCTCTACATAGGCGGGGGGGGGGGGTTCCTGGAAACTAACAACGTAGACCAGGCTGGCCTTGAACTCTGAGGCTTGCCTCTGCTTCCAGGATCCTGGGGTTAAAGGCCACGCCCCCTGAATGTGGATTTAAAAACAAAGATGAGAAGTGAGCTACCAAACGGCTTTCTCAAGAGACGACAGCGGAAGAGAAATGTGTCTGTGGTGGGGAGGAACCAAGAAAAGTTAGAGGAAACCCAGCTCTGAGGGCCTGGGCCATTACGTTTGTCCCCTTTGATTTTTGAGGACATCAGTCACGTTTGGTGGGACCCGATTCAGGGGCGTGCATTCTCTTCACCGCAATCGCTTCTCAAGCCTAAGCGCTACGGTCCCCAACCAAAGAAAATCTGATGTTCACTGTCCTTTAAAAATATACTCGGAGCCATTCACAAGGTGGGGCCTACTGAATTTGCTTTAGAGTCCCTGAAATGGGAACCCTCAGCCCTACACACACACACACACACACACACACACACACACACACACACCCTCTCTTTCTTCCTCTTCGGATTCCATTTTTTCCTAGGGTCGTCTCCCCACCGACTCCCCTGCCAATGTTGCGAATTATTCCAAGAAAAACACGCCGGCGACCCGCCCCTCACAAGCTGTGCCACCAGCCTTTGAGTCATTGTAGGCGTTGGAACAAAACAAAAACAGGCTTAAATGAATTATTTATCAAGGTCGAGAATAATTGATTTGTGCAGCGCTGTCGGTGCTGGGTTTTAAATGTTTTCTTCCCTTCCTTCCTTTCCGCAAGCTGACTGTGAACTGGGCCCCTGGCCAGAAGGAGCTTCATTTGGGGCATTGTTGGGGGATGTCAGAGTGGGAACCCTGAGGAGAGCTGACCAGGGAAGGAAGCCTTCCGTCCTGTCTGCAGGGTCAACTTTGCTGGAGGAGGCTCAGGGTGCAGGCCGCCCACCCGGGCCGCAGAGCCCGCGATGGGCCTCAGTGGGAGCAGGCTCGGCCCGTGGTGGCATGATCTGTGTGAAGGCTTAGCCTGACCGACGGCTCCTGGGAGGCTATGCTGGGCGGGCACCCCGTTCTCGCGCCCAAGGCCGCTTTCCGGGAGCTCTGAGGCTTCAGCCCAGACCGGCCCGTCCCCAGTGCGGGCCCAGCCACGTGTGCAAGCGGGTCCTGGCCGCCTCCGGCCTCCAGGCTCTGCCCACAGCGCGTTCTGGCTTCAGCTCTCCGGCACCAGTTTCCCGGTGCACGTCTGCTCCCTTCGGAGACGGGAGAGAGCTGTCTAGGTGGAACCTCGGTCTGTTTGCAGAGACCTTACGACGAGAAAAACGACCGTGGGAGGGTAGGAAAGAGCTCAGCACTCTCTAGGAATAACGCAGCTCCACCCCCCAGCCTCGGATCAAAGGTCTAGGTGTCCCGTGCAGGGACCGCCGCCACCTCCTTCCGACCTGGGACTCATACACTTCCCAACCGGAGGAAGCAAGATCTCAGGAGGCAGTGATAGAAGAAGAGAGAGACAGGACGGAAAGAGGGAGGGAAGGAGGGAGGGAGAGAGAGAGAGAGGAGGAAGGGAGAGAAGGAGGGAGGAAGGAAGGAAGGAAGGGAGGAAGGGAGGAAGAGAGGAAGGAAACGAGGGAGGGAGGAAGGAAGGGAAGAAGCAAACAAGGGAGGAAGAGAGGGAGGGAGGGAAGAAGAAAGGAAAGAAGGAAGGAAACGAGGGAGGGAGGGAGGGAGGAAGGAAGGAAGGAAGGAAGGAAGGAAACGAGGGAGGGAGGAAAAGGAAAGCGCACACAGCCTCAGCTGAGCCCAACCCTTTCCTGACATTCTCCACCGTCACAGAAACGATGCCAAGCGCGCAGATTCATAAGGTTCTTAAAAATGGTAATTTGGAGTAAAATGTAACTCAGAGAACTTTGAATCATTCATTAGCACCTTATAATTACTCCGCTAATTAGGTTGACACGGCACTTAATCAGGAGTAATGCGCCCGTCCTGTCACCGGCGCTTCCCATCACTCTGACATTCAACAAGAGGCAGGAGACATCCTAAGGAGGACCGCGAGCGGGTGCCCCGTGCGCCCCGGGTCCCAAACCGAGAGGGACGGTCTCCTTCCCAACCCTACGACGTGGCCCAGCGGGGAGGGGGCAGGCGAGCGAGGCGGGCGCAGGCTGTGGCCCGGCCCCCGCGGCCCCCACGGCCCCCCGCAGTCCCCGCAGCGGCGCAGGAAGCCGCGGCCGCCCGCGACTCGGCAGAACGCCGGGCCCGGGCGCTTCCCCGGCTCGGGAGAAACGAGGGCCGCCCGGAGCCGCCCCGGCGCGGACCGGAGCCCCGGCGGGGTGCGGGGCCGCGGGCCGGG